CCCCACACCTGCAGTTTTCTCTAGTCCAACACCTGTTTTCCTAGGAGCTCTTAGCACTGTTGGAAATGATCTGTTGAGCACCTTGTTTATTTGTTCCAATCTGTTCTCCAGCCCCTGAAATGTGAGTTCCAGGACCACAGGAACACTGTGGACTCATTCACTCTTGTTTCCCAGCCCCGAGGTGAGGGACCAACAGAGAAAGCTCCCAGTGAATATCCGAGAAAGGAAGGAGTGAATCAATGAGCCTTGACAGGACAACCTGAGCCGGCTTGGGTATTGCAAAGACTTCTGGTGATAGGGTCCCTTGAGAGCCCAGGGGGAGGGCCAAGGAGGCTGAGGCCTGTCCTGGATAATGTTACACCAGATTCCTCATGAGAATGGACTTGCCCATGCTCCCTGAGCTGCCTCCATTCCCAGGGAGCAGGAGGCCTGTCCCTGTTTCTATGGGTGGCCGATGTCCTTCTACATGGTTCTTGCCTCCTCTTACTGCCTCAGAAAGCTGGGGTCTTTGCCTTCTGCCCTTTCTGAAATGGGGCTGATGTGAGATTGGCTGTGGCCCCATCAGCTTCTTCCCCAGTGCAGGTGGGTCTGGTTGGGGAGCTGCACCAGCATGGTCAACTGGACCAGCCAGTCTGCACAGGGGATGGCCTGGGTCAAGGTGCAGAACTCTGGGTCCACCAAAGGGGGTACTGGGATGTCCATTCTACTGCCCATGGGAGTAGCCTCAGCTCTGTCCCTAATCTACCTTCTTGGAGAATCCTTCCTTCCTGCAGAGTGGCAGTGGACAACTGCCTTTCCTGGAGGGATAGGGTAGGGTGGCATTGCAAACTCAGTCTCTTGTAAGAAGAAAGAGATTTTGTTGGAGAAGCAGGTTACCTTGGCCTCATTCATGGAGAATGGCAGGTGGGCCAAAGTTAGCTTGTGCTCTTGACTGTTATTCTGATCCCAGCCTTTTCCAAGTCCAGCTGAATAAGAGCTTCAGAGGCTGAGAGCTGACCTTTTCAGCCAAGTGGGAGCCGACAGTTGTAGCCAGGGGCTGCGGTCCCTCAGGAGTGCAGCCTTCAGCCTGCATCACTTTTTCTAGGTGTGACGAGGCAGCCTCTTGACAGGGAGCTTACCTTCTTCTTGATGGCTCCTTCAGAGGCTGCCTGAAAAAGAAGGTAGAGAGCAGCAGCTGAGGACACATGGGAGTTCTGAGGGCTTGATTTTTCTTTGCGTGCATGCTCTCATGTGTTCTTGTGGCATCCAAGGCAGCTGTCACCTCCCCACCCCCAGCACATCCTATTCCCCAAGGAAATGAAACATTCCTTTGGGTTGAGACAGTTTTAGTCAGGGGACCTCAGGGAAGGGACTGAAGGGACTTCTTTCTGAGCCTGAGGGCAGTAACCATGATGGCATGACACTGAGGTCCTGGGAGCCCTGCCAGACTCGTGGAGCCACAAGCACATATACAGAGCCTTGCTGGAGCCCTCCCTGAGCACGTGCTCATGTAAACATGCAGAAAGCATGCCGACACAGACACAGCCAGTCTCTGCCACATCAAAGACTTGCAATGGCCTTGGAAGGCAGTGGAAGATGAGTGGGAGCTGGTAGATGGTATATCTCAGGGTGTCACCTTCGTACCTTTCCCAGGTAGCTCTCATCATCCTGTCCTCTTTTCTCAGATCTAGGTCAGAGCTCAGGCCATTGGAATGAGGATGGTTGGTGTCCAAAGGGGTAGGGCTGCATGAGCTACCAGTGGCCTTGCCTTGGGACTGGCTCCTACTCAGCCACATGTGGGCAGTGGCATAGGAAATTTATAATGCATCTGTTGAACTCAATCTACCAGTTAGTTATTGCTGCATCTGTTGAACTCAATCTACCAGTTAGTTATTGCTGAGAAAGAAATCATCCCACAACTTAGTGACTTAGAGCAACAATCATTTATTATTTTTCATGTCTATAGATCATCCAGGCAGTTGTGCTCTGGCCTCACTTGTGCATATGAATTTGGCTAGCATGTGGCTAGGGGTAGCAGCCTGGGGCTGACCTGGTTCTTCCTGATGAGTGTGTACCCTCCAGCAGGCTGGTCTAGGGGTGTTTTGTGCCAGCGCCAGGGTTGAGGAGCAGAAACAGAAATGTGCAGACATTGATTCAAACCTCTGCTTATGTCAAGTTATAACTGTCTCATGGGACAAAGCAGGCCATCTGGTGAAACCCACAATGGGAGCTGGAAGGGTCGTCAGAGTGACAGGGCAAGAGGCATGGAAATATCACCAGGGGCCTAAATGCAGCTACTCTCCCAAGTTTGGAATCATTTCACCAGGCTTGTGAAAGGAAGGTTTCTCAGACAGTACTGTGCAATAGAACTTTCTGTGATGATCCATTATACATCATCTATATCTGTGCTGTCCAATATGGTAGGCACCAGACAGATGTGGCTATTGAGTACTTGGAATGTGGCTGGTGTGACTGAGGAATTGAGTGTGTGGTTTTATTTAATGTTAATGAATTTAAGTTTAAAATTAAATAGCCCCATGTGACTAGTGACTACTATATTGGACAGCCCAGATCAAGGGAAGAACCATCATGGGCACCGGTAGAAAAGGAGCTGGTTTTGAGCATGGATGTCTGCTTGGTGCTGAGGTGTTCAAGCTTATAATTGGCAGGCATGAGTTGTGCTTAGGAGAGGGAGGGGGCAGGGTTGACACCATCCCTGAGTTTTTCTAGTTGGGGGTTCCCTCTCCCTGTTACACTTCTGCTCCTTGAGCCATTTCTGCACATTTGCCCTGCCATTCCCTCGGATCAGGGAAAGTGCTCTGAAGAACCTCTTCCTACTTTTCTGTTGAGAGTCTTTGGAGCTTTAGCTCTCCAGGAGCAGGCTGATGGAGAGTTCATGGCCTCCCTGGGAATCTGAGGGGTGTTGACAGCCTTGGGCTTGCATGTCGGAAGCCCCAGTACTGGGACAGGCATCAGACACTATGTGGTCTTCCATCAGTTGCCTTTCCTCACTTGACAGCTTTGGGTGAAGAGGGCCCATCCTGCTCCTGGGCACTTTCTTTTTGTCTGACTCAGTGGGCAGAGCAACACTGAGATCCCCATGCTTTGCCAGGCAAGCAGTTCTGGACACATGTCTGTGTTCCAGGGGCCACACTGCCTATGGATGCAGCTGGATGAGGTCACGGCTGGACTGGAACACAGGTACCACTGGCTTGAACATCAGTCATATGTTTGCCATTTCTAGTCAGGATCCTATTTGGGCACTTCTGTGCCCTCCCTATGGATCATAAGGAGGCTGGTTCTCTGGGCCTCCCAGATGCAGGCTCCTGAGACACAAGCAGGTGGTACCTTCAAGAATGTGGTTCCTCACAGTCCTGTGAAAATGGTAGTTGGTGACTTTCATCTCCAGTTTACAGATGAGCCAAACGGGCACAACTGGATAGGTGATTTGCCCAAGTGTTTAAGGAACGATTCTAGGTTCTAAGTGTGGCAGTCCATGGCTGGCCCTCAGGCTGTATCCCGAGGCCCTTTCTCAGGTGGGGAATAGGGCCTGCGCACTGACCCCAGGACCCCAGTCGGACTGCCATGCTCTCCTCCCCTCCTTGGTGCTGTGTTTGGTTCTCCATGATTACTATTGTCATGTCCAGCTTGGACTAGACTTACTAGTAAGCCCGTCCACAGAAGACAGGCAGCACAGGGACCCTGCAGTGCTCTCACAGTGCCTGGCACACGTGGAGCTCTGGAAGTTTGTGGAATAGGCCTGAGGTGAAAGTTTGGGAGAGGAACTGGTTGGGAGAAAACCTGGTTGAATTAACACCATTTACTTTGAATTTGATTCTTGGGCCTCTGCATGCCCGTGGCAGCCCACGGGTCATCCTGGGCACCAGGAGAGCGCAGCTTTGTGAAATCTAGGCAGGCCCAGAGTGTCCTTCAGAGGGAGTGGCTCAGCTGTGGATCTTGTCTTTGGGACTCAAATGCAGATATGGGCCAGATGAGAGAAACATCCCAGGCTTTGAAAAAGTGGCTTATGGGTTGAGACTTTGGGTTGTAAGTGACAGAAATCCAGCTCAACTGGACTTTGACTCATGGAACTGAAAAATCCAGAAGAGACAGGTTTTAGATACAGATGGATCCAGAGGCTTAAATCATGTCATCAGGACCCAGTCTCATGCTGGGACCTGCTTGCCTCTGTGTTAGCTCCATTCATGGGCAGGTCTGAGAGAAGATTTGGGCTATGGCTTAAAAAAAATATTAGCATTTCTGGCCCTCAGAAGAGGAGGCCTCTCTCCAGCCATGGGCTCACATCCTGCCCTTTTGGTATCCACAAGGGAAAGAACAGGCCTCTCTCCCAGGTGCTGCACCGAAGTGCCGGGAGGGCATTCAATGGACCATCTTGGATCATCTTCTCTCCCTGTTGGACCTGGGATAAGAGCAACCCTGGCTGGAAAGAGAGTGGAGGAGCATCTTATCCAGGAAAGTCAGGTCCTGGGAAGAAGACAGGGTCCCAAGCCTCAGGGATGGGGTGAGAGGATATAAGCTATTCAGTCACAGGATCAGGGCAAGGTCTGCATCAGTCAGGGCAGTCAGTGGCCTTAGAACACCCCTGGCTCCTTGACTCTCCATGGGGAGTAGCAGGAGGTGGAGGGAACTAGGGGCCAGGGCCAGGGACCACCAGCACATATAGCCATGAGGACAGAACTGACAGGATTCTCATTCCCACTGGGTTAAAGAAACAGGGAGAGAAAGGAGCTCATCATAAAGGATATTTTCAGGCCACAAGACCTGTTGGATGGCAGAAAGTGCACCCCATAGTGCAAGATACACCCTGGGGCTGTATGCTAGTGATGGGTGTTGGGACTAAATTTGTGTCTTCCAACCTTTATTCAGTGGACCGCTGGGGTAGACTCGAGCCCTCACTTCTGTGGTGGCCTGTATTGGGTGGGAAGTGTTGGAGTTAGACCTTGCACAGTTCCTTTCTGCTTAAAGATGGTTCTCTCCTCCTCCTTTCTCCCCCTACTCAGATATCCGTGGTCTCCAAAGCTTCCTGGACCAGGCCTCCCGGCTGGGCCTTGATGTCTCTTTACAAAAGGTGGACAAGAACATCAGCCACGTGTTCACCAGCCTCTTCACCACGATGAAGACGGAGGAGCTGAATCGCTACCGGGACACGCTGCGCCGTGCCATCCTGCTGCTCAGCCCTCAGGGGGCCCACTCCTTCATCAATGAGGTAGGTGGTGGGGCCTGCAGCCATGGCAGTAGCTACACAGGTGGCTCAGGTGGGCTGCAGCTATGGTCCACTCATTGTGTGTGGCCAAAACAGGCATGGGAACCCCTGGGTGCTGGGATCACAGCACACACCAGGAAGGGAGAGACTGAGCACAACTTGGCTCCTGACCGGTCCCCAACATGTGACCCAAGATTTGCTCAGATGATGAGAGGTTGGGGGCAGCTAGTGGGAAGCCTGTTTACAAGGCACCGCCAAAGATTTCTAAGGCAAAACTCAGGCAGCTAGCTTTTTTCTTTCCTTTTAATTTTCTTCTTTTTTGATAGGTGTAAACCTCTAGAGATAAAATAAATTTCCAGCTCTCTGCAGAGGGGGACTGCTCTTGCCTTGGGATTTGTTAGCACCTGGAGGAGGTGTTGGTTGCATATAGCCAAATGATACCTGGTATATGTGTGCTTAGCTTGTGGGTGCCTGGGCTAATCAGTGATTTTTTTAAAAACATCTGCATTAGAGTTCAGGGCCTTCTAATGAAGACAGGGCTCACATGTCTAACAAAAACTCTATTCATTTTTGAACAGACAGCTAGAAACACTCTGAGCTGCCTGACTGGTGCCAGTCCTGGTGGTCTGATGGCAGAGAGATGACAGCTGGAGTTGGCAGGTTTCTCTTTGGCCTGGGTTGGCTTTAGGGTGCAGGGCTATGCTGGCAACGTAGTGTGCCTGGGAGCTGGGGCAGACTAAAGGGGCTACCGGGCAGCTGAATACTCCCTGCGGTTTCCCTTCCAACCCGTCACCTTGTTGGCCCTCTCTGATGGAAAGGAAAATGAAGTGAAAGACAGAATTACACTAATTCCGTTTGATGTACTTTACTTGCTTATTCTGCTTTCCCCTCTAATTAATTATTACTCAGAATGCTACCTCATGCATCAGGAACCAGCATGAAGCCCACTGCTGGAGAACTTTAAATGTGGAACGTGTAATTTGGTGCAATTGGCCAGCAGCCCTGATGCAGTCTGCTAATCAGGCCCGGATCGCGCTGGTGGTCAGCCAGGCTATGATGTCCTATCGTCACTCAGCTTTTTCATCAGAACACGTTTCCCTGTAGGAAGGGATTCAGGCCAGTCATGGGCAGTCCAGGAGTAGCAGCACTAATGTGTCCAGACGTTCTCAGAATGTACCCAGAAGTGTCTGCTCACAGGAAAGCTTTTCTCCTTGTTAAATTCCACAGCCAGAGGTGACTCCGGTGATGGTGTCTGCTAATTCTGCCGCCAGCCTCCTCCCTCTCTTCTCTCACCCGTCCCTTGCCATCTCTCCTTGCTTCCTTTTCTCCTTGACTCTGCTCTGCCGTTAAGCTTGGAAGTGGGAAGCATATTGGTTTGAAAGTTATACAATTTGGGGGCAAATCCCAGTCCCCGCACTTATTTATTGTGTGGTCTTGGGTAATTTGCCTCTCCTTGTAACCTCACTTTCTTTGTCTATCAAGTAGAGACGAAGGAGATGACAGACACAGAAAAAGCATTTGGCGTGTAGCTTCTCAAGAAGCACCTGCCCTCCTTTCACTGTATTCATTCATCATATCCCTTCCGGAAAATTCAGCCTTTCTTGTGTTCCTAGGCCCTGCAAGGATTTAACACATAACCAAGATGTTATTTCCAAGTGGCTAATTATGCAGACTTCTGCAGTGTTGGATACACTTGGCTTGTCTTTGGCCTATTGCCTTCTCCTTCCCCTAGATCGTGTTTGCAAAGCCTTTGCTTTGCTAGGTGCTGCAGAGCTGGGGGTACCCCTGGAGTAGCCACCTGGCAAGAGTGACAAGCCCCTGGAAGTGGTGGCTGGAGACTGTGGGGAAAGACAGCACCTGGGTTTCATTATTTCAGTTCCAACTGGTCAGAGTCTTGATCTCTGGTCTCATACGCCTAACGCCAGGAGGGACATGCCATCCTTTTGGGGTGCTCACCACAGGCATCCTCTAATCCTTCCACCTCACAAATGAGGGAACCAAAGATTAGGAATTTAAAGGACTTGCTTAAGGTCATGCAAGTAGTCACAAGGAGACTGGACGGAATTCAAGTGTAGATTTGACCCACTCCAGAGACCTTGCTGCCCAGTTGCTGGGACGGCCACAGAAAATACAGGGGATTGCAGTGACTGTAGTGGCTAAAAGATGGCTGTGCTGGCCTTATTCAGAAAGCATGGTTCCAGGGTCTGACAAAGGTTTTGAGGGTGTTGAAGCTGAAAGAATTTTAGTGCATCTACTGTGAGCTGTGGGGGAATCTGACCCTGTAGGTGAACATGACCTGTATGACCCATGTGGCTGATTAGCCCAGAAGGTCCCCTGGTAGAGATGTGGGGATGTCATCCCAGCAAGAAAGCTTCATTACTCCCTGGAGACATTCCGTGGGCTTCTTGAGCAGACTGACACAATCTCTTCTTTGTTGTGACATGGACAGACATTGTTCCCAAGGGTGACCCAATGCCAGGACATGCCCTGAATTTATGAACTCAAAACATTGTTATGGGGCAATAAATGTCTCCCTACCCCATTGCTATTGATGACATGTAGCTGTTGTGCCTGATCAGGGCTGGCCTGGGTGACCACAGGAAAGATGGTTTACATGGCCCTGCCAGCTCTAATGGCTCCCCTCCCCCACTTGAAAAGCCTGGCCATTGGCATGAATGGAACTGGAGACTATAATGCTAAGAGAAATCAGCCAGTTGGTGAAATACAAATACCATATGATTTCACTTATAAGAGGAATCTAATGAACAAAATAAACTAATGAGCAAAATAAAACCAGAGGCATAGAATCATGGAACAGACTGACAACTATAAGAGGGGAGGTGGGAGATGGGGACTGCTTGAAAGAAGGTGAAGGGATTAGTCAAAGAACATATATAAAGGACACATGGACATTGTGTGGGGATTGACTGTGGGAGTGGAGGGGGACAGGCTGGGTGGAGGGGGGCAAAGGAAGGAAAATTGGGACAACTGTAGTAGTATAAACAATGAAACATCAAAATAAATAAAAATAAATAAATGAATAAATAAAGAAAGAAAGAAAGAAAAGAAAATAAAAGCCGGGCTATTGGGAGTGAGGGAGGAAGATGGCTTCGCTTGAACCTTTTATATTTTGCTACATGTGAATTGGGAAGGCTGGCACTTACACTGTCATTAGTGACAAGTCCTGCATGACATGGACTAAGCTGCCTGGGACCAGCCAGGTTGTCCATGTGCTGGGTTGGGAGCCACTGCTTCTCCTAGCATCTAGGACATGTCCATTCGGTTTGGTGATCTTGGCATGGGAGGCCATGTACCACTAGCTTCTCTGTGATCCCATTTTATGGGGAGCTACCCTTGCTGGGGCCACAGGTTTGGGGATCCTGGACTTGGTGGCAGGTGGGACGGTTGGGGATGCAACAGACTGAGGTTTTGAGGCCTGCCTGAGGGACTGCATGGGCTTCTATAACAGGCCACCTCCAGATACCCTTGCCTTTTATTGCTTAGTCTTGACTCCACATCTCCTTCTCTGAGGTCTTTTGATCACAGTCTTAACAACCACATATCAGTGTGTTATCTTTGAAAGACTTCCCTTAGAGAGATTGAGCTCAAGGGTGACAGCCATCCAGTCCTCTGACCTGAGGTCTGGAGCCCACTGTGGGCTGCCCTTGGGACTGCCAAAGACATAGGCTATGGAGGGAGCCGTTCTGCCAGGAGGAAGGCTGCTTCTCCCTGGGCTTGGTGTGGGAGCTGAGTGAGTGTGGCAGAGCTTTATAGTCACCTTCTACCAGGGAAGCGAGTTGGAGTCTTCCCACCCTTACCTGAGCCTCTGCTCTTCTCTGGATTGCTGGCTGCTACATGAGGCTTCAGCGGGCCGTGACAAGCACCCCTGATTCTCTGTTCTCATGCAGCCCGTCAACTTGAACCACCAGCCAGGGCAAATGGGCATGTGGTGTCTTCTCTTTACTCTAAGGCAGTGGGATTCCTGCAGTGACCAAGGTGACAACTGCTAGGGGGGTCCGAGGGCAGAGGCCGTGCTCCTGGGGCTCTTGCCTGTGGATGCTGCAGCCATCTCCATTCTGTTCATGGGTTCCTTCTCTCATTTCTCCAGTATGTTATGAGCCTGAGCGCTGTGCCAGGCTCTGCGCTGGGCACTGAGGCTATAGCCCCTGCCCTCATGGTGTCCCTAGCTTGGTGGGGAGGACAGAGGTGTAAACAGACCCCTTTGCCTGTAACAGCAGAGGTGTGGACCAGGTCCTGTGAGAGCACCAAGGACGAGAGCAGTGCCCTCTGCCCAGTGATAGATGAGATTAGCCAGAAGGTCAGTGATGCTTCCTGGAGTAGGTGACACTGTGGCTGGGTCTACAGGAACAAGTTTTCATGAACTCTATAGCCAAAGTGAGTCTGGGGGACGAGAGGTCAGAAAGCCTCAGTGTGTTCCGGGACTCATGTGTCACACGATTGCAGCAGGGGGTGGGTGGGGTGTGGAGGGGCTGGAGCTGAGGCTGGGATGTCAGCAAGAAGGGGCTCCCTAGTCCAGGGAGGGGATTCTTGGGTGGTATATGTGTCTTAGTGTTCTTTCTTCTCCAGTTCAGGTTTGATAGGAAATCTCTAGTTCACAGTCTGTTTTGGCCCTGGGGTTCACCTCCTGGAGGAGATTCCTCCTGTCACTTGCCCATCTGTCTATCCATCCATCCTTCCATCCCCCCAGGCATCCAGTCATCCATTCATCCAATATGAATTGGGTGCCTAGGATAGACCAGGAACATATCAAGAGCTAGCTGAGAACACAGAGGTTCCCCTACTGTATGGCCATAGTCCTTCTGAGCACTCTGTCCAGTGGCCTGCCAGAGAGGGCATGTCTCAGCACTTTCATTCACTGAGGCCTCCTCTGGGCATGTGTGGGGGACTCTAGGACTTCGCCTTTCAACTCTCATTCCTCATTTCTGTGCTCCCGTCTCTGGTTGTACTTAGGCCTTCCTCTTTCTTTTTGTATCCTCTTTATT